TTGCCCCATTCCGGTTCTTAGCAGCTTCCTCCCCCTTTCCCCTCAGGTATCTGGGAGGATTTCCTGGACATCTGCGATCTTCAGTTGCAGATCTTGAAGCCAGATCTTTCAACGCTTTTCGGAAGTCTCCAATTGAGAATGAAGATCTTTTCAAAACTTGTGCTTAGAATCTTCAGCAATCAATCCTCAACAGAGGCATTGAGATCAAGAATATTTCCAAGCATATGAAGTCCCCAGTTGAAAATGAAGATCTTCGCAACGGCTTGCTCCAAAAATAAGAACACTAATGAAAGATTGAAACAAAGACACCGCCAAATGGACCCTCAGGTCCCACCAACATAGTTATATACATACATGTGTCGCGTCGCGTCGCGTCGCGTGTGCGTGTGCGTGTGCGTGTGCGTGTGCGTGTGCGTGTGCGTGTGCGTGTGCGTGTGCGTGTGCGTGTGCGTGTGCGAGTGCGAGTGCGAGTGCGAGTGCGCGTGCGCGTGCGTGCGCGTGCGCGTGCGCGAGTGCGTGTGCGTGTGCGTGTGCTTGTGCGTGTGCGTGTGTGTGTGTGTGTGTGTGTGCATGTCTGGTACATAGTCAACGGTGTCACCTTGAACCAAAGGGTGACAACAAAAACACACACATATACAAACCGCATCTTAGTCAGCTTGTCTCATGGCACTGTATTTGAACAGGCTGCCAGCCTCGACGCAGATCCGCTCAAACGAATCCCAATGTCCACCGCCCGGATCGTTGCATGCTGGCGTTTGGGAGGTGCGCAACATCTTGCACGCACCACCTTCCGATGTCGGATAGGACTCAGACAAGGAACCAGTAGGATTCCAAATGAACCCAAAACAGTCGGTCGCCCCGATGCACTCATCTTTGCATCCACCAAATGTCGTTGCTGACATCGTTGCGGAGTCGTACGGCTGGCACAACGTGTTACTGTGGTGCGTCCATGATGCCGATGATGCCCCAGCAGCCTTGCGGGTAGGGCCACGGGTTTCAACAAGACTCATATGTGCTTTGAAGCACACTTGCGCGGCTACAAAAAGCGTGGGGGTTGGGGGGGGGGGGGGGGGGGGGCAGTCCCCCCGCAAACACAATGCTCACATGATGGGTTTCAACAAGATTCATACTCGCATGGACTAAAACAAGCGCGAGGGGTCTTGACCAAGCGGAAGCCCGGTTAACTAGAACACTGGTAAAACAAAGTTGGCTCTAGAAAAACATATCTGTCAAGTCAGCACTCTCCTCTAGTCCTTTGCGAGCCTTAGAACTGCGAACATTACTGACAAGTGGCCGCGTCGTCATTTTAATTCTTTCGGACACCCGGCAATACTCAACGTATTGCGACTGGGGTGGAAACCCTTCCCTTTTGAGGTGGTGAGCAAGGCTTCAAGGATTCTGCAAAATCACCTTCTATTTTCGGCTTCGGCGCCACACGTCCAATCAGAATGGTCACCACTCAAGCTTGCACGCTCGCCTGGGCCAAGCAGGCCGAAGCCAGGAGCACGAGGGCTCCACGCCTTCGGAAGAAGCGCAAAAGAAGCCTATTGATGCAGCATATACATAGAAAGGATCTCAAGCATCCGACTCCGATTCAATATTCACCTTGGGAGGCTTGCTTCTCTGTTAAGACTCTGTTATAGCACTCGTCCCAAGATTGTGCCCGGGCAACGCTTAACTCTGATGGATGGATGGTTCTGATGGAGGTCGTGTTCACGGACCCACGGAAGAAAGCCCCAGCCTGAAGCTCAGGCCACCCGCGCTGCTGCCGTGCCGTGCTTGCTCCTGGAATGGTCATCCCAACCGGCATGGAATTGCAACCTCGAATAACTTGCAAGGCTCCCATCATCCGTGGAATAACTCTACCGGAATTGCTGGCCGGTGCCTGGCACTCCGTGTCCGCTAGCCAGGCCAGTCCTGGAGCACTACCGCAAGCTGCTTTGCGCAAATCCCCAAACATCCCTCAGATCTCAAAGGCCTGATCTGCCCATGGCATTAGCCCTCGGCGAGCTGTCAAGCCTCGAACGTGCGGGCTTCGGGGATCCAAGTGTGCAAAAGGCCTAATCCGCTGTCGAAGTGGATTCTTTAGTTGGGACACCTGTATTGATGAGGGTGAGGAGGAAACGTTCAACGTTAGTATCAGTAACATATGTGTTATACGTTACTTGTTGCAGCGAGTGGGCATGGAGCAAGAGACCCCAAGCCCCAAGCCCGACCCAAAACAAACAACGTTTGGGGTACAGGGTGGAAACAAGTCTGAATGGGCCATTTTTTCCAAGCCCAACTGCCAAGTCTGATAGGAGCCACGGACCTGAATGCAGAAAAGGTTACGTCGTGAACATGGCAAACGCAATGCCCGACAAGCATGATATAGAATAGACACAAGTTCACAATTCAACTCGTCTGCGACAACCTCGGCCGGCCTCGAGGGCACAGAGCGCAGTGTGGAAGCCCTGGGTTTTCCAGCCATTTTCGCGCGCTGGCTCTCCTGGGCTGCAAAGAGGCGATGTGAAAGCCATGATCCTGGCACAAGTCCTGCTAACTTTGCACAGCTGCTTACACACCTACAAAGTCACACTCTCTGCGAAATGCGTTCAAGGTTTTCAAGAAACACAAGTAAAGCCAGGTTTGAGGTGAGGACGGTGAGGGCCCAGGGAAGTGAAACGTTAGCACGCTGCCCAAGGTCGCACGGATTCCGTACGACAAGGAGCGTAGCACTGTATTATTTTGCTTCTCTTCGAGCCATGAACACATTCCGGACAGCAGACAAGCGTGCATGTCTAGCGGTATCTCCTACGAGCCTTATAAGGCTTTCAGTTCAGGGGAGCCTGGCCCGCTAGACCCCCCAAAAAAAGGAATGCTTGAGTTGAGACCACACATGACGCAGCGTCAATCGTTTCCTTGCAACCAGGAACCAGCTGATGAGCAGCGTACCCTTCGAGTTGAGTGGTTGTGCTTATGTCCCAGCGTGGGGTAGCGCTTTTTTCCCGATGAACAGGCAGGGCGCAAACCTTCCGGACCTGCTCCTCGGCTGCTACGTCAAGCAGGAGAGCCCCGACCTTGCCATCCGAAACAGAAACTTCGCAAGATGTGGCTTATGGGGTTTAGGAGGCTTTTCGCCCGGGGCTTGGCAAAAGTATTCCAGCTGCCACGGGCCAAGACAAATGCTCAAGATGCTTGTGTTTTTGCGCGCACGTGGGCTTCGCGCGTTCTGTAGACCTGCATGCGTGTTTTCCGGCACTGCGCAGCACAGCTTGTGGAAGTCTCCGCCTATCGCCAGGCTCTGATGCCCGCGACGACAGCTGTACAGAAATGGGACCTCCCCACCGTGCGCGTAGCCCGTGAGGACTCGTGCAGCAGGAAACACAGCTGCATGCACTTGCTGCAAGAGGCGAAATTCGGTCAGCAGGCTTTGAGACCCGCGACGTCGGCTATACAAGGCAGGCGCACTTGTCACTCAAGAAGACAAGAGGCCTTTTTGGTTCGCAGTCAGTCTGGAGCACATACGCATGAACACATAAGCATCCCGAACACAAGCAGCATCAAATCGGGAACTCTGGCTCGCAGAGAGTGAGTTGCTTGAGACGCTTCGGGTTAGTTGGGTTTCATAGCTTCGTCGTGATCCAAGATGACTCTTTGAAAAGAGCTGGGGCTTCCATGCTCAGCAGGACCCGGAAGCCATTCTTACCGTCAAACATCATTTGACGGCACACAGCTTCAATTGGCTGAACCTGCTTAAACCATGTTCGCTGTCCCCCAAGTCCTGCAGAAGCTACTTGCCCCTCAACACTTGCAAATACACAGAAATTAAAGGCTGCATCAAGAACCAGATCTCATTCATCCAACGTGCATCAATGAGGTTGGTCATGAAGCCAGCAACTAAGCCTTGGTTTCGTACCGATGTCCGTAGCAGCGCTGTTGAAGAGCCGTAACGCTGCTGCTATTTACTGCTACTGCAGCTCCTACGATGACGACGACTACTACAGTTACTGCAGTAACTGCTTCTTCTACGTTGGGGAAGAGGTCTGTTCTTTGAAGCTATGGCTTTCTTCTTGCGTTTACACGCATGATTTTTTCCCTGCGCCTTTGTTGATTCCAGCTTCCTCTCCAGGCTTGGTTTTATCTTCTCTGCGTGTGTTCGGCTTCTTGGCTCTGCTCCTTCACACTGTTTTGGGTCACATGGTTCCTGCAGTCAAGGCACTGTCTCCAGTCCGTTTTTATTTGGCTTTCACCACTTGTCTGAAAATTCCGCCCACTTTGGTTTTGCGCAGGCCCTTCTTTGACTCATGTGCTTGTGGGGTCTGGGAGTTTGCTGGTTATGTTTATTTGGAGTGGAGTATTTCCGCCGTATGCCGTGAGAGCCTTTCGTGCGAGGGCTTTGCGTTTCCCATGGAAGGCTGGGCTTGCGTTAGGGAGGGTGAGGGGAGGGGAAGGTGGGGGTGGATGGAGGGGGGGATTATCGTTCTGCTTGCAGTAGTTTTACATTTAGAACTTTGAAAGGGAGTGGCCTTTGGGCAACGTAAAGAAAAGGAAAACAAACACCTTGAACATGCTAAAACGACATATGACATATGTTTGCGTACGAAGCAAAACATGCAGTCCACTACCACCCGTGCCCTTGCTGCGGCTCCTGCTTCGGCTGCTTCTGCTGCTGCTGCCACCACCACTACTGCTGCTACCACTACTGACTGCTACTACCGAAAAAAAACAGCTACTGCTACTCCTGCTAGGACGGCTACGAACTGCTGCCGTACTGTTTGGGCCGGCTGGATGAGGAAGAGGAGGGAAAGATGAGCTGGGAGAGAGGATCTCTGAAAACACGTATGGAAGTGTAGGTTCGGCTGGGGATGTGCAGGTGAAGGATGACAGCTCATAGACTCATGGCGCTATTGTTTGGGTTGCGGGCATGGGTCCAGTGGATTTGAGGTTGGACATTGGAGGTTTGAACTTGTGGTTCCACCAGGGCAAGCTAGAGAACAAAGGTCGATGGTGCGGAGGAGTCAAGACTGCCTTCGCCTTTTCTTTGTTCTGGCTCTCCCCCCGGCCTCCACAAAGTGAAGTGGGAAATCCTGCTCGTCCGGAAAGTCTATGAGGTGGTAGCCACCATAGGCGAAGAAGTGTTCCCTGCGAACGCCGTTCCGATCCTGCAACAATAAGCCCTAAACCGCATTAACCCCCCCCCCCCCAACCTTACGTAAGACTTCAGGCCTCATGCAACTTCAGAACCCTAAGCCCTCCAAACCCTAAAGCATCCTGTCTCCCCCCTCCCCCCCCCGGCCCCCCCAACCCTATATGTAAGACTTCCCAAGGGTCTCAGCCAACTTACAGACCCCCCGGTGCCTGAACTTGGGCACGCGGGAACTGATGAGCATGGCGGTTCACGTCAGTGAACCATTCCGGGCTCCAGCGCACGATGGCCACCGTCCTTTGCACTCTTTTCCGTTCTCTTATACTCAGAATTGTGTTAGATTACAAGTTGGCTCTGAGTGGTGTTGCCTCGCCACAGCGGCAAAGAAAGCCATAGCCACTCGTTTGTTCGAACCTTCTGCACAATTATCCGATGAGGCTGCTCATCGCATGCCGACGGAGCGAGCATTCAGTACAGTACGCTATGTACCCTAAATACCCTAAATACAAGAAATACCCTAAATACCCTAAACCCTAAACCGGATCCCAAAGCAGAGCGGCTGCAAACCCCGTTGCGCCTGGGAGTTCTGCGGCGCGCCCGGACCTGACGCAGGAGGGCTCCGCTGCGCGCCAGGGCCTCTCGCACAAGGACCTCTCGCACAAGGACCTCCTGGCGAATGACCTGGCGCATTTGTTTTGGCTCTGGGATGCGTCTTCAAGCTTTAAGGGGAAGCAGGAATTAGCAACAATGTCAGCATCAACCCGGACCCGAGGAAGTCTCTACTACTGCACCTCATGGAAGCCAGGGTAACCCAGCATTCCGCGATGGTCGACACCAGTCATCTGACAAAGGCGATACCTCGGACACGGGTTCACAATGATCTTTTCATCACTTGGGGACAAACAACCAACCACCTTGACTAGTTCATGATTGGGAGAGTACTTAAAAAAATCTATTCCCTATTCAGTTTAAGACCCTTACAATTCTGAAATGTTGCCCCCCTCCCTCCCCCCCCCCCCCCTCCCCCCCCCCCCCCCCCCCCCCCCCCCCCTCCCCCCCCCCTCCCCCCCCCCCTCCCCCCCCCCCCCCCTCCCCCCCCCCCCCCCCCCCCCCCCCCCCTCCCCCCCCCCCCTCTCCCCCAGAAATCACAGCTTGGGCTTACAACTTGGAGGTTTCCTTTCATAGGTACCCCCTTCGAACCTCCCATCGTAGAAATCCCTTCTTGCAGAGGGATCCAGAACAAGCGAGGCTCAGAACGCCAAGTGTAGTGCATCCACGGCGCTCCGTGTCTCTCGAGACCCACCGCCGAGAAAATCCCAGGCTCTCCTCTGGCACGGTCCCATCGCCGTGAGGAACCTTGCAGGATGAAAGACCACTTCTCTGGTCAGCTTGGGGAGGAACTCAAACAAGGCGCTGCAGGGGTTATTTTTTGGGGGGCTCAATGGTTAGAGTAAGACTTTGGGAATACTAGTTTAGTATGAATTTATATACAGGGGCAATAAGGAGACTATATTTCTAATCATTCATGATGCAGGGTTTCGTGGGGTGAGGGAGCAAGAAGCAACTATTTTAGCAGACCCGTTGTTGAAGCAATTCCTCTTGACGGCATGCTGTCATTTTTTACAGCAAGCCAGCACGGCTTTCAAGAGCCGGTGGGGAGGGGGGAGGCTTGGGCTTTCTTTCTTTCTTTCTTTCGCGTGGCCTGGAGCAGGCCCCCACCCCCCCACGCGCAGTGCGCACTTTCCTTCTTTTTCTCTTTATTTCTTTATTTGTTTTCTTTCGTTGTTTTTTCTTTTCTTTTCTTTTCTGTTAGTTTCTTTTCTTTTATTATTTTCTTTTCTTGTCCTTTGCTTTCTTTTCGTTTCTGTTCTGTTCTTTTCTTTTCTTTTCCTTTCTTTTCCTTTCTTTCATTCCTTCTATTGTTTTCTCTCTCCCTCTCTAACTTTCTTTCCTTTTGAGGTTTAAAGTTCCTCCTCCCGGGTTCGGGCTGTGGCCAGCTGGGGAGTAGTCTGCTGAACCTGCAACCCCTTTAAGCTACCAGTACTATTCGCTTAAGAACCCCCCCCCCCACCCGCACAAAATAAAAAAACCATAACCCCTATAATGCCCTTATAAGCAAGAATACTTGCCTTTTGTTCGGGTGCTTCTTCAGCGAAAAGCAGTTTATGAACAATGATCCCTATATTGCGCTTATCTGCAAGAACATTTGATTTTTTGTTCGGGTGCGAAGAGCAGTTGACACGACCGGGCCTTCAACAGCCCGTCCTGGACCTGAGCGCCATCCTGACAGAGTTTCTGGATTTTTTTGGGTGTAGGGTTTAGGATTTAGGATTTAGGGTTTAGGGTTTAGGGTTTAGGGAGCTCCGAGCATATGGGGGTTTCGGGTTTAGGTACCTTATCGGGGTTCTGATAAAGGAATCCTGCTATTTGGGGGGCCTATATTTCCCCTAAACGAGGCCCCTTTTGCTTTCTGCAGCCGTCCTGGGGCCGGCGGAGCTTTGCACGCACGTCCAACTCCAGGACGGGGTACACCTCGTCACCATTGGGCGCAATGAGGCGTCCAAGCTTCCTTGGGAGTGGAGACTTTAGGCGTTTGGGGTTTAGGGTTTAGCGATGCTTTTCCTTGCCGAAAGTGCAACCCTCGGCCCCAAGCCACCTCCCTATCCTAGCCGGCTAATCAGGAAGGCTTTCTACGCGGTCTTTGGGGGTCCTTCTACAGGATACGGCTTTTCTACAAAGCTCTAGGATTCGTCTATACGGTGCATGGCTTCAAACTTCGTCATCCAGAGATAGAGACAGCGCAGACACGTCTGTTGCTACCTTAAGCGTGTGGGAAAAGGTTCCGGGGGCCGAGAGTTGTTTTCATGCATGCTGTATACTCTCCGGTACGAACTTCCTTCAGCCGTGTTTCGGCTGCACCGCCATTTGCATCATCGTGGGTACGTTGCAACCACGGATGTCCACCAGTCTGTTGAGAGGTGCTTCGCCCTCCCTGAGTGGGTCGTTGCGCAGCCTGCGCATAGCTGCACGGAGCTGCATGCAATTTTCTACGCGCAGGTAGTCCTCGGTCCGCAAAGGTTCATACGTCACGCCGTGCTCATCGAAGAACGAATCCGAGATTTGATTCGTGGCCGTGTAGTTCCGCGATCTCATGAGCTCTGCATATTCCAACCACCGGACATGCACGATGAGGTGGCCAAGGGGCCGCGGACCAAGCCGCAGCCTCACGAAGCCCTGCCTCGCCATCTGGGCCAGAGCCTGCAGCATGGCGGAGGGTATGCAGATTCAAACTCGAACTTGCACTTCGTGATGTAGCAGTCGCTCTCCTACTAGTAACGAAGCGACGGAGATGCGAAGCACTGGTTGGCCTGATCTCGGGTCGAATGTATCGCTGCGTGATGTGTTTATAGGACAGAGTGCATCGTCGCTGATCGTAAATGTACGCCATCTAGTATGACAACCTTGTAGACACAACAGAGACGACACCACACAGCAGCGAAAGAAAAACACGAGAGGGCAGAGAGCTCGTCCATGAGTGTGGGAAGGGGGAGTTGGCGCTGTGGCGCTAGCCCTGAAGTTTAACCATTCCAGCTGAGACATCCGACCAAGCAGCGCGGCAAGACTCAGGACAGAGATGTGATTTCTAGGTTCTAACTTAACTGACGCCGAGCTAGACCTCCAATGACCCACGTGGCTGCGTTTCAGTGCTACTGCTAGTTGGCTAAAGGCACTCGTCTTGGGTAAAGCCGTTCACCCCAAGCCCTAAGCCATGGCTACTCTAACAGTGTGCGTGGCTTTTTGGCCGCAAACCGTGCGGCAGCCAATCAGTTCATCAGTCGATCAGCTGATCGGCTGGCACATCACTGCAGTGGGGGTGGGCTGGAGAGGGGGGTGGGGGTGGGCTGGTGGGATCGCAGATGCAACTGACCCCTACGCTCTAGGGCTTTAGGGCTTCTGGGCCTTCCGCCACCCCTTTAAATGACCCCATCAGCCGATCGGCCGATCTGCCACTCAGCCGATCGGCTGATCGGCTGCAGCGTAAACACCAACTTTGCGCACACAAACCCTGAAGCCGGAACCCCTAAACCCCTAAACCCTGAGCCCTACTTTAACGGTCGCTCAGCCCATCGGCCCCAGACCTGGCCTCTGCGACAGGCATCGCTTCTGTGCAGAGGAATTCAGAAAAGACCTCAACATCTTGCAAACACACACACACACACAAGGAAAATTATGGGTTTAGTGTTTCAGGTCTAGGGCTATAGGGTTTAGGGGTATATATATATAGGGGATTTTCAACGAGTAGGGGTCCCTTGTTGGGGGTGGTCCATTTCCTGGTTCATATAATGAGGAGACGACGTTTCCTACTAGGTGTGGGGGTTCTGTAAGGGGTACACTTCTGATGGTTTGGAATTTCCAGTATGGTATTTAACCCCCTCAAACCAGCTAAACATCCCGAAACATCCCTAAGGCATAGCCCGCCTCCCTTGCGGAGAGAATTCTGAGGCCCTAAAATTGGCCCTTCCTCACGCATCTTCAACAAAACCGTTCCACCGCTTCTCAAAGTCTGACCGACTAGAGTTGTGGTCTTGAACCTTACCTTAAGTTTTCCCTCGATCCTCCTTCAACTCCTACCTTAAGTTTTCCCTCGATCCTCCTTCAACTGAACTTGAGCGAATTCGCCAGCAGCTTCGCCCTGATGGTCGCCGTGGCTGGCAACTGCAGCGGGCCTTTTCGGGGGCCGTTTCGGGATTTCGGGTTCGGCGGCCGCGTTGCTTTAAGTCCCAAAGATCAGCGGCAAGAGACTTCCCCTGCTTTTCAGGGGGGGCGGGGGGAGGGGGCATGTGGTTCTCCCTTATAAGGCGACAGGACTGATGACTTACATGCACCTCCTCACTCCGATCCAACGGCAACAAACGAGCCTCTGGAGCCTCTGTTCCAAGGTTTCGGGTTGAATGCTTTTGTGCTGTGGGCCTCTGGTGTACACCTGCTTCTTGATGGGAAGCAAGGCGAAACAAGGGGATGGTGGCTGAGAGTTGTGTCCTTTGTTCTGCTATGGGCTTTGCTGTGGGCATTGTTGTGGCGGTTTGCGTTGCTATCCTTCTCCTTTGAAGGATCGATGTCTAGCTCGGAGAAACTGCCACCCGGGCCTGGAAACTGCAAGATCTCATCGAACATAGCCTCCGGCTTTGCGACGACGATCTGGGGCCTTGCGTCTCGAGCCATGCGACCATGTAGGGCTTATAAGTTGGGATGTTCCCCCTTATACTTACAGTCCTTCTTCTGGATTATAATGGGGGTGGGGGGGGGGGTACTATAATCCCAAATAGGGGTATCCTTTTGGGGCTCCTTTGAAAGGATGACATAGTACTTCGGGATTCCTTTAAGAGGATGATATAATATCTTGGGGTATATAAGGGGTAATTTTCGGAAATGCTCATGTGCACATTTTTTGCCACAATGCCACAATGGTGGTTTGCTTGCAAGGCTTGGGTGTTGACGACTTGAGGCCCTGATACAAGTGACTTGTACCAGCTTCAAAAGTCGAGTCGCCGCCCATTGCCCCAAGAGATTTCGAACATCGCCGTGACCTGCGCTGGATACGCGACGAACACGATATTCGAGTCGAGCCCGGGCTGGTCTTCCCTACTTCGTGTCTGAGTTTGGAAGAGGAGCCCCCCCAAAAACCCCCCAAAAAAAACCTAAAATGCAGATGCTGGGGCAGTCATGGTAGAAAGACGTCTACTTCATACTATACGTTTTTCGGCCGAACAAGAGCTAGTGGCGGAATGTGTCTGACCTGCAAATAATGTGCTTCGACCTCTTAAGGGAAACTCTGGCAGAAGCCTCTCACGCGCAAAGCCACATGGCCACCCAGAACCACACATGTCGCCTTTCAACCCCCGAACGCGTAAACGCTAGGGGGTTGTACCTTGGACCCTGGCGGTTCTACCCTTGGGGAGCCTTTTTGAAGATTCTTAAGGTAGTAGAAGGGCCATACTTTGGGAGTCTTCAACTCCTTTGATAACCCGGTAAACCCTGTCTGCGCACCAGCCCATGCTGCAGCTGGTTGATCTCGAATCCACGCGGAGAGATCCGCAGCACCGGAACTGGCCACTGTGAGGGCTTTTCGGGAGTTGGAACTTCGGGGGGGGGGGGGGGGGGTAGCCAGCTTTCAAAGTGAGTATGGGCGTCGGCGATGCTGTGGGGGGGGGGGGGGGGGGGTAGCTTATTGAGGGCCCTTATGATCAGGGATCCTCATGTTTCGGAACCCCCTAAACCCTAAGTCCTTAACCGTGAACCTAAACCCTAAACCCCCAAGCGGCTACGTTCACGGAAGGTACCCTAGGGAACTTGAGCTGTGGGACTATCTAGGGATTGTCTTATCCCCCCAAAAAAGGTTAAAGGCTACCTACTCTACTACTACAAAAGGTTACCAAGGTTTAGGTTGGCTTTGGGGTCCTCTGAGGTGCACTCAAAATGTTGGTTTAGGGTCTGGTGAGTTTGGTGTTCAGGGCTTAGACTCGGAGAATCTGCAACACTTTCACCTCCCGTGAGGACAGACGCAAGCTGACAGGCAAACGGAACAACAACCGGGACACTTTGCCACCCACATCTCCGAAGTGCGTGCAATCCTTCTGCCGCAACCCGGAGCCAGAACCTGCAATCTCAACTTCCTTGTGTTCAGCTGCCTCCCTAAACCCTCAACTTCGTTGCTGACCCAAAGAGTGTGCACTGTCAGTTCTATAAGGGGCTAAATTATCCCAAAAGTGCAAAGTGTACTCGTTCAGCTACTAAGTCAACCCGCAACCTTACTTCCGTGAGTTCAGCTGCTTCAACTCCCTCTCCCGACGCACCGAGCCTCGGCGACAATGAACGACCGCTTCCTCAGCCAAGCGGCCTCCCATGAAGCAAGGGCGGTTTAGGGTATATAGGGTTTATAGGGCTTTTAGGGTTTCTAGGGTTTGTAGGGTTTTTAGGGTTCCGAGGGTTTAGGGTTTCCCAAAAGAGTAGGATTCCCTTATAATATGGGCCCCAATAAGGTACGTCCCCTAATTTCGGAAACCCCCCCATACTTCAATTCCTAGGGAAAAAGACTGCGCGACACTCCGCTGATGCTGCGCTCACTTGGAGCTTTCGAAAAGGACCCGAGAGCCCTAAACCCCAAACCCTACTTGGAAGCCGTCTTGACTAAGGAAGTAGGGTTGGTAATGGGGGGCTTGGGGATTAGAATAGGGTGTCTAGGGGACACTGAGTAGACTTACTAAGTCCAAAGAGCTTCCGCCTACACATATTGACGCCAGTCTAAACCCTAAACCCTAAACCCTAAACCCTAAACCCTAAACCCTAAACCCTAAACCCTAAACCCCGAAGGAAGCATCTGCGCCGAGGCACCTTGGGGCATGTTCGTGGGCATGGAGGGCCAGGACTGCGCCAAGGCCCGGGCCTGCGCTCCGGCTTTGATTTAGGGGTTCTAGGCTTCTGGGGCTTAGGGGTTTAGGGTTCTAGGGTTTAGAGTCCTCTAGGGTTTAGGTTCTAGGGTGTTGGGGTTTTAGGGTTCGAGGGATGTAGAGGGTTTGGTGCCTGTGCGGTTTTCGGGTGCTGAACTGCGCGTAGAGTGAGCACGGTGCGCTGCAGGCTCCACAAGGCAGAGCCTCAACTGAAGCCGAAGATTTGCGCGCCGGTTTTCGTCCACCGTGCTCTATTGGGAGCCCACACCCCAAGGCTTCTCAGAACAGGCCTTACAGCCCTAAAGCCTAAAGCCTAAACCCCAAACCCTAAGAACAGCGCATGGAGCACTCTGGCGCACAAAAAGGAGCGAAACACGCCTGCGCCAAGTTCAAGATGCAGTCCGGCACGCCGAAATTCTCCCCACACCTTGGCGTTGGGGGGTTTAGGGTTTAGGGTTTAGGGTTTAGGGTTTAGGGTCTGGGGTTCAGGTATTAGGGTTCAAGGTTTAGCTTTGCAACTTGGGATTTGACTCGGCGTTGGGGCTGTTGAGGTTGGAGCCATCGAAGGGACACCGGGGCAGCCCAACTTTTCACTGAGCAGTTTAGCCTAGTCTTCGGGTTCCGGATGCTACGCCGTGTTGTCCAAGATTCACAAAGCCCTGATTTAAGTTACCTTAAACCCTAAACCCTAAACCCCTATAACCCCTGACCCCAAGCCCTGAACCCTAGCTCGCTATGTAAACCCTAAACCTCCAAACGCCTGAGCTCTAAACCCCTGAACCCTAAACCCTACACCCCTAAAGCATGAGCCCTGCAAAA